TTTCTTTTTCTTATAACAGTTGTCCCCATTTTACCCACCTCGGAAAGTTGGGAGGCTGAGTCAACCTTCAGCCTGGTGAGAGTCAAACAGCCAAATTGCAGGCAGTTGGCAGTCAGCAGAAGAAGCCTGCAGTACTGCACTTTAACCACTGCGCCACCAAGGCTCATTATAGCTACTCACATGCTGTAGCTTTGGGGATTAACTCTCATTTGTTCAGCACTGCCGTAACTTTGAATGGTTGCTAAACAAATGGTCACTAACTGAGGACTACCTGTAATTTGATTGTTCTCCCTCTGTCTCTCCCCTATAGGCACCAGAGGCTGATTATTTGGAAGCCTGTGTGGTATCGGTGCTTCAGATTCATGTTACTCAGCCCCGAGGGGACATCCTTGTGTTTCTTACAGGCCAGGTAAGCTCTTGTATGTTTTCTCCTAATTTACCACCATTGCTTACCAGTATTGTAGTATAATAAACAGAGCTTCATTTCCATTTTTATTGACAGGAAGAAATTGAAGCCTGCTGTGAGATGTTACAAGATCGTTGCCGGCGCTTGGGCTCTAAAATTGCAGAACTTTTGGTCCTTCCAATTTATGCTAATCTGCCCTCCGACATGCAGGCCAAGATCTTTGAACCAACCCCACCAGGGGCCCGGAAGGTAAAAGCTGGTTGTATAAAGCAGCAGGGCTAACCTGTGCAGCTTTCATTATTTAGAGCAGGGGTCTCCAAACTTGGCTTGGCTCCAAACTTTAAGATTTCAATTCCCAGAATTCCCCAGCCAGCATGTTGCCCAGTTTGGAGACCCCTGATTTAGAGAGTTGCATTTGAGATGTTTGGAAAAGGAGAGGGCGAAAAACGTTGGCCTAAGTGTTGTATTTGGGGAGATGCAATTTCAGTCATCGTTGTTTAGTATTCTATTTTGTTGCTTGAAGGGAATAAATAGGGACCTCTTTTTGATACTCATGTACTTAGATAGTTGAAAGAAGATGAACATTAGGGGTGTGCACAAAGAGAAGAGATTTTGTTTTGAGAATGAGATAAAACAGCCAGGTTGGCAGTGGTAAAAGAACGAATTCTGAATTCCTCAAGTGTTATATGTTCCATTTGCTGAACAGTTCAAGTATTTCACTGTAGGGACAATAGGAATGCAAAACAAGTATCTTCCTATGGTGGAATAATAATGTCTGTTGACTGCTATCTAGTTAAATTGAAGTCTTTTAAAGCCTGCTTCCCTATGCCAACTATCACAGAAGCTTAACAAAGAGCAATACTCTAGATTGCATTCAATAGAGACTACAAAAACAACAACAGGGGGAAAATCACACCTCTTGGCTTTAAACCAACTCTCTCTTCATATTGTCTATAAATAGTGCTAATCTCTGTATTTGCAGCCTGCCAGGAATGCTAACAATAAGGAAACACATTGTTTGTGCAATTAACATGCAGAAAATTCAGCATCAACAGAACATGTACAACACAGAAATAAAAGCAACATTGAATATGTATTTTACCAACTGCAGCCTGAAAGCTTGACAGCATGATTAATAATGCTTATGTAATGTACACAATGCATAATGTATTTTCATTTGCCTATTGGCTGCCTACCAGCAAAAGAAAGCATAACACATGCATAACTCTTGCACAAAATAGAACCTCTAACCTCCCTAGAGGAAAGGATTTTTGAAAGAACCATACATTCGTCTACCAGGCAGGAAAATTTCAGCAGTACTGACATTTGACATTAGCCTTCCCAAATTGCCTTTGAATCTAGGTGCAACATCTTGTCTGACTTGGAGAGATCAGGGATTGCCTTCCAGCAATAGCAACATTTGCTTCAGTATGTACTTAAACAACTTTCCCCTAACCCTCCCCCCTTCTTTCATCTCAAGTCACTAATACAGACATGTAATTGACCTAATACACTTTAGTGACTGCCCTGGTTTTAAAGAGGGAGGGGGGAAATCAGAAACACAATCACGTGAAAGAAAAGGACTCAAGACAATCAGTTTTTTCGCCTCCGTAGTAAATATATTTGAAGCTGCTTTACCAAGACCTACAGTATGCCATTTCTCTATATAGTATTGTTTATTTGTATTAGCTAATTCTTGGACAGAGATCTTTCAGAGACTTGTTTCCTAGGATGTTTTTAATGAAGAAATCAGGATTAGAGTTAGACCGCCTTAATCAGCGTGGTGTTCTACATTTTATTTATTTGTTTGAATAGACAATTTGAATCGTGGTGACTTAAAAAAGTGTAAAAACTGTCTGAAAACATCCATGGTAAAAAAAAAAAAGACATGCACTATATAAATAAGCTACAAGAGATGTTACAGCAAATAAATTAGCTAAGATAATCACCTTCCAGCTAGCAGGTAGGCCCTCCTTAAGGCCCTACAGAAAAGTAGGGTCTTTGCTACCTTCCAGAAGACCATCATCGAGCTTCTAGAACAGCGTTTCTCAACCTTGGCAGCTTGAAGACATGTGGACTTCAACTCCTAGAATTCCCCAGCCTTCAAGCTGCCTTGGTTAAAACATCTTGTTCCATGGTGTTGATGCCATGGCTGAAAAATACTAACTTCTGTTTTGAGCCCCTTCATCTCATGGAATTAAGGTACTATAATTTATGATATTTATAGTATAAGTAGCTACTTTACACAATCATTTATGAGTATCTCTTCTCTCCTCAGGTTGTTGTGGCCACAAACATAGCAGAGACATCACTGACCATCGATGGCATAATTTACGTGATTGACCCTGGGTTTTGCAAACAGAAGAGTTACAATGCTCGCACGGGCATGGAGTCCCTCATTGTTACCCCCTGTTCTCGGGTATCTGGTATCAGTACTTTTACTTCCCCATTCCCTTTCCCATCTAATCTATCTCATTTGCTGAACTTGAATGTCTTCAAAGTTATCTAAAGCTCTCATTTAATCTGGTTCTCTTATTTGTGTTGGTGCTAATTCGTTTGCAGGAAGTAATTTATTAAGAATGTAGTTAACCTGGAAACTGTTCATAAAAACCATAGAACAATGAAAAATCATCAGGGATTTATGATCTCTGATTCTGTAAAGCTATGAAGTTGTGTAGAAATCCAATCTGTACTATCCATGTAATGGTATTCACCAACCCACCAATGGTGAAGCTCTAACCCTGCAGGGTCCTTAAGAACAATAGTTAGAATGTATGCATAACATATAGATCAAAGCAAGGGGTAGTTCGGAAAGGATTGTTAAGAGAGTATTATGGGTGTCAAATAAATTATCTTGTTGAATCCTGTGATAGTGGAACATTAATAAAAAATGATTAGAGCATCTCTTCTAATTGCAGTCTCTGAATGTTGAGGAAAACTGGAATTTTCTGAAATGTAGATTTTTGAACTATACTTTATTCCTTGTGGACATTATAATATTACTAAGAACTTTTAGAAATGTATAGTGGTGGTGTGCTTGAGTAGATTTTAACAGGCTTACAGTTTATGCCAATCCAAATAAATACTGAGCGGCTTAACATTTCTGTCATATGTAAATGTTAAAATAACAAAAAAATAAACAAGTCAGAATATATGTAATTAAATCTAGATGACCAATTATCATTATCTTAATTTCACTGCAATAAAGATAAATGGTGAGAGAAACATATTTATTGCCATTTACACTGTGGAATTTAAGATTGTCTT